TATGTATAATTAAGAAATTACCAAGTTTACAGAAAGCCAAGCAGTCAGTTCCTACTATAATAGACTATATCTCAGATCTGAATGGATTTTCAGGAAACTGTTTTAACTATTTTCAAATTCAGGAGTATAATTAGAATAATGAAACCAACAATTTTCTCTTAAGTTTATCATACAGCTTCAATTTATTCGAGCTTTGGAACAGCTTGGTTGTGAATGCATGAAAAAACTACCTGTGGATGCCACATTGTTTCATTGTCTTCAGGACTGATTTAAGTTTATAGAAATCTTCCATTTAATTGCTAAATAGATTGTAAATATTTACTATTCCTTTGTAGATTAATTGTATTTTCTTTGGGTTGCAAGAAGAATAAAAATGGCATCGGAAAGAAATACTGTTCTTGGGAGGATTTGATTCTTTAAAATCTCCCTTTCAATGCAAAAGTAATGGTGGATGCCATGCACTTGTGTCAGTTTCCACTTATTTCATGGCAGTTGGGATTCTTTCAGAAAAAGTGGAGTGGTACCAGAATTTTTGGCCATGTTTGTATCTGTCATTTGGTATATCTTAGGGCAGGGGTAGGCAACCTTGGCTCTTTTATGATTTGTGGACTTCAACTCCCAGAATTCCTGAGCCAGCCATGCTGGGAGTTGAAGTCCATGAGTCATAAAAGAGCCAAGGTTGCTTACCCCTGTCTTACTGGGGAAAAGTATTTATCTGCACAGTTAGGCTTCCTTTGATTTTCTTTTTCCATTCATTTTGTCTGTTTTATATCATGAAGTTAATAGGTAATCTCCTTTTGCTTACCTAGTTACAATTTCTGTAGCATGAAATTGCAAGCGTACCTTGGCTTCATGTGGTTTCTGGCTTCTGCTTACAGTACTGCCATAAAGAGAAGGCCGAGGGGTGACATGATAGCAGTGTTCCAATATCTCAGGGGCTGCCACAAAGAAGAGGGAGTTAAGCTATTTGTCAATGCTGCAAATACTGTATATTCTTGCTTTGACAATATGCAGAACTGTCTGGTATTTTTAGAGTTAATGCATAGCAGAAGAGAGAGGAAGGAAACCTTTGACCTTCACACTAATTGGATAATGTGATATATGACAGCTAATTTAGGGAGGGAACATGCTGATAATTTAATTGCTCAGGGAAAGAGAATTTAGATCTTGGCATATCTCTGTTATGCCTGTGCCGACATTTTGTAACAATAAATGACTTTTAGGAAAATATGCCTGGAAGTTCTTTGAAATGTTTCATTAGCCAGAACCATAACACCATGCCAAGATCTCAAATCCTTTCCAAACAACCTGGGATCCTGAACTCCATTCACTGCCTCTAACCTCGAGAGGAGCTGGTAAAGATTCAGGGGAAGAAAATCTATCATGAAAAAAGGGAGTTTGCTTGAAGACCCAGCAGCTACTGATAATCCAGAGTGGGAAGCAACAGACAGCATGCTGTGGGAAGATGAATTCTGGCAGACCTCCCACCTGGGAGCAAAGACTTCAAAAGCAGATTGGTACAGAGCTAACGAATGGCCTGCTACTCAAACTTTGGGTGAATCACTGGAAAAATATCAAACCCCAGATGTGAAAAGCAGAAATCAATTCCTGCAGAGAGAAACCTACAGCCCCTCCCTCGTAGATCAGACCCCAGGTTCCCCAACCAGGGACTGCAGTCCTGAAGACAGAGGGAATCCCAGACTGAGGCCTCTGCAGCAATGGGCAGATTGGCACCCCCCACAGATAGATGATTAGCAGCAACTGAGCTTGCCACAACTAACAGAGGCCTTGGAACAGCTTGGGGTGGTGCAGAAACCAGGAGATCAGCAGCTAGTGGGAGACCGACCACAGCAGGGAGATTGGCCACAGCCCCTGAATGTGCAACCCCTGGACATAAATCTGCAGCCAGGATGGGCCCAGCAGCAACAGCCTGTAATTGCACCACCTTTCAAAGCAACCTTCGATGGGGACCCAGAGAAGCTGATTTTTTTTCCTCAACCAAGTGCATTCTTACTTGAATCGCTGGGTCTATCTCTATCGGGAACCAGGTGCCATGGTCGATGTCATTGCGTCCAACCTAGAGGGAGAAGCATCTGAATGGCTGAACAATCTATATAGTGAGCAAGCCCCCGAACTGGGAGATCCCCACCTTTTCCTCCTAGGACTGAGAGAAAGATTTGAGGACCCATCCATAGGCCTCAAAGCAGCAGAACAAATCCATAAAATAAAACAAGCCGGCAGGCCTGCCCTGGAGTACATGCGAGAGTTCCGCAAGATAGCAGGCCGAATAGAGGGGTGGCCAGAACAATCCCTGATTCAATACTTCATTGAAAGATTAGACGATCACCTCTCTCAGTCCTGCATCTATCGAGAAGTACCTGATAGGCTACAAGAGTGGTACCAGACAGCAGTGAAGCTAGATGTTAAGCTCTCTCACTATAAAAAGCCTCCCCCACACGAACCCGAGCAGCAACCAGAGCTACCCAGACAGTAATCACCCCAACGAAAGCCTTCAACTGCTGCAATGGCTGAGAGACCCAGGCCACCTACAAGCCCTTCCTTTAAGTGTTTTCGGTGTGGACGAAGGACATCGTGCAGCCACCTGTCCAGTCCTTCTTGTAAGGGGGTCCGGATGTCAACGCTGCAAATACTGTATATTCTTGCTTTGACAATATGCAGAACTGTTTGGTATTTTTAGAGTTAATGCAGAGCAGAAGAGAGAGGAAGGAAACCTTTGACCTTCACACTAATTGGATAATGTGATATATGACAGCTAATTTAGGGAGGGAACATGCTGATAATTTAATTGCTCAGGGGAAGAGAATTTAGATCTTGGCATACCTCCGTTATGCCTGTGCTGACATTTTGTAACAATAAATAACTTTTAGGAAAATATGCCTGGAAGTTCTTTGAAGTGTTTCATTAGCCGGAACCATAACACCATTCTCCAAAGCATCTGAGAGCAGGACAAGAAGCAACAGATGGAAACTAATCAAAGAGAGAAGCAACCTAGAACTAAGGAGAAATTTCCTGACAGTTAGAACAATTAATCAGTAGAACAACCTGCCTCCAGAAGTTGTAAATGCTCCAACACTTGGAAGTTTTTAAGAAAAGATTGGACAACCATTTGTGTGAAATTGTATAGTGTTTCCTGCCTGAGCAGGGGGTTGGACTAAAAGACCTCCAAGGTCCCTTCCAACTTTATCATCATCATCATCATCTTCATCATCATCATCACCACCACCATTATCATTATTATTATTATTATTATTGCATGAATAAACAAGTGGTATTCTTCAGATTTTTTAATTTTTTTCTCTAAAGATGCATCACTATCAGGCAATACAACATTTGAATTGGATATTATTTTTTTCTAACAATATATACAAACAGAAAATTTTTAAGTTATTGCATGTTACATCCTAGTCTTCATGAATGCACATAAGATTTATGGCTGCTATTGTTGGAAAATTTTGTTTGCTGAAGAATTTGTATTCTGCTCTCAAGATTTTGCTGAAATAGCTTTCCTGAATGTATCTGTAAATTCTTCAGAACTATTTCTACATTCCAGTTAAATGTGAAACTCCATCCTTTTTAAAAAGTATGCTTCTGAATGGATTATATTGCTTCTTCTGTCTTGCTTCTGTGTAGAGAGCCACTTTGATCTAGAGCAGGGGTAGGCAACCTTGGCTCTTTTATGACTTGTGGACTTCATCTCTGGCTCAGGAATTCTGGGAGTTGAAGTCCACGAGTCATAAAAGAGCTAAGGCTGCATACCTCTGGTCTAGAGATTAAGGCACCGGGTTAGAGAGCAGAAGACTGTAACTTTAAGTTCACTCTTATCCATAAAAGCCATCTGGGAGACTGTAGACCAATCACTCTCTTTCAGCCCAATCCACCTCACAGGGCTGTTGTGGGGAAAATAGAAGGAGGAATGTATGTTGGATATGTTCACTATCTTGAGTTATTTGTAAAAGTAATAAAGGTGGGATACAAATAAATAAAAACAAGGAAAGCAGGAGCAATAAGCTGTTGAGATCAAGGGAAAGGCATGTTAATTAGTACAGGTAGTCCTCAAATTATGACCAGTTGTTTAATAACCTTCCAAAGTTATGATGGACTTTTAAAGTGCTACTTATGATCCATCTCAAAGTTACAACTGCCCCGCCTACGGTCATGTGATCATGTTTTGGGCAACTAGCTTGCATGTATGACTGATTGCAGTGTTCCATGCTCATATAACAATGGTTTGTGGATCATAAGTAGCATTTTAAGAATGAGGAAAAGGCATGTTATAAATTCCAGGTGTTATTGTGGTAGTAAGTCAAGGCCTATCCATAACATCAGAACTTTGTCTTTCAAGCAAAATATTAAAACTCATTTTCAGCATTACTGGACTATAGAAGCCCACACAGCATTTCATAGAGGATATCTAATAAATATCCTTTTTTGACAATAGTCCTTAAAGGTTTTATGTGGTCCCAGTTTGTTCATCTGATTGCCTCACAGTTTTGAATTTGTAATAATATCATAAAATATTCTTCTGTGCACTGACTGAAATAAAAGCCACTTGAGTGGTTTTAAATGCATTTGTTAAAGTAGAAATACCAAAATATAATCTAGTTCATTGTGCATGAATAAGACAGCAGGCAGCAGTTCCAAAACAATAGATTTTCAAGACCTAAATTTACAAAAATGTTTGTTTGTTTGTTTGTTTTTTTAGCTGCTCATCTGAACAAGTGACTTTTCTTGTTAATATTCAGACAAGAACTGTCTCTCTTATTGGTAATCTGTATTGATAGAAAACTTTGAAATAAATTGTTGATTTATTCTATCAATTCACACAGTTAATAATAGTAGTGCTAGACATCTTTTCAATGATATATAATAATGCATTGCAAACAATATTAACTTATTTTATTCACTTTGTGTCTTTCATTGTTTCATGTTGATCTGACTCTTCTGGTGATTTGGACTTCTGATAAATACACCAATGACAGTTTACGCGATTTCTCTGTGATTCACCACTTGAGGTATGAAATCACCTTTAACACTAAATCTTTATATTATTTAAATACAATAAATAGTTTATTTTCACTATCTTAATGTTTGCTACTATATTTATAATAGAGAAAATGAAATGTTCCCAATTTCATTAATTTAGCATTAAATTAATTTTGTTATTGTTGATTTAATTCTTTGAGTTTCACTTGAAAGAAATTGATGAATTTTATTTTATTTTTGTTTATTTGATGAATACATTACTTAAGGTTGAAGTGCACATTCTTTAGCTTCGTATTTCTGTCTATCTGTGAACAGTTGATGAGCTTTTTAATACTTGACTATTTTATTTTATTTTATTTTACATCCATATTGCTGTCAAACGATTCTGGACAGGTCACAAACATAAACTAGTGATGTGTTAATCTGACTTCAAAGTTAAGCAACATAGGTGATATAGGTGTATAGGTGATTTCTTAGGAACTGTAAACAGAATTCTATGACATGCACAAGGGAGGGAATGTCAAAATGAGTATTACATCAGTGCAATATGACCTGCCCCTTTTGCATTTATATCATAAAATGACAAGCACATTGTCAGATTCTGCAGATTCCTCTAACTGAGGAATCTGATGAATACACGTTCAGTAAATTTTATTTATCTGGAGCTATAATTCGATATAGTCATACTATAATAATATTACAAATTAGCAACAATGGTATATTGGAAGATCTGCAAGAAACACTATTTGCCTGGAAGCAAGAATTGGTGGAATCATAAAACAGACGAAGTAATACAAATATAGAAACCAAAGTGCTCTGGGACTTTAGAATTCAATAAACACCTGCCACATAATACTTCAGACTTAACAGTTATTGCAAAGAAGGACAAAAAAGTTTGAATAGTGGACATTTCAATACCTGGAGAAAATCACAAAATACAAAGATCTACAAATAGAAGTAGAATGAGTGTGGCAAAGTAAAACAAAAATAGTACCAGTAGGCACCATTTTGAATACCATCGGCATTGACAAAATCACCATTACTCAATTGCAAAAAGCAATTTGCACCTTCAAACAACAATATTTGTCTGTACAATTTCCTTAGATACACACACACACACACACACACACACACACACACACTATTTGTCTTCTCTGATCAAATTTAGTCTGTTGTATCTCCACAATTAACGCTAACATGGGTTTGACTGATGTCAGTTTGCTGATCAATCTTATCTGCATAACATTCCTATACAGTTATAAGTGGCTAATTTAAAGTTTGAGAATAAATTGAGCTTCTGAACAAGACATTTCTACTGAAGTCCTGCTAATGATGTTACCTAGTCTAGTAATGAAACATTTGGGAGCTAAATGGCAAGCTGGGAGAGTAAACCAGTGCCAAAATTGAGTTTCTTTCAGCATCAAGACCGTTAATTATTTTTTCAGATATCATTGAATTTTGTTTGTTTGTTTGTTTGTTTCCATTTGACTGCCTCTTGACTCCATCCAACTCTGGCCAGTTCACAACAATAAAAGCATAAAAAGGAGAAAAATATAGAAAATTAGCCAAAACAAGTGTAAAAATTACAAAATAATCACAATCCAGCAATAAAACAGAATGTACATAAAACATCACAAATGTCCCATCCAGCCTAGCCCAGTGACTGGATAAAAAACTAGATTAGCAAGGCTTTCTAGAATATCATTACAATGGGAGTTGAAAGGATATTGGGGACCTCATTCCAGAATGTCACATTACTAAAAGGGAGAGAGAGAGAGAGAGAGAGAGAGAGAGAGAGAGAGAGAAGATCTCCCCAAATTCTGGCTGCATTTTCACTCTGCCAACTGCAGTATCAGCAGCCAAAACTACTAAAATGCAATTCCCCAGGCATTAAAAGGCTGTCTGGCTCTGCTTCAAGGGCAAGTACTGGACTCTGTTTAAAAAGCATTGTAACTTCTTTTACAATATTGTGACCAAAATACATGGAGGCAAAGAATAAAGCAAAGAATAAAGAATAAATAGATTTAGTCTGTTCTATTTTGGAAAAGATAAATCTGAAGTTCACAAAGCAGAACGGAATCTATAAGAAGTCTTATACTTGAGCACTTTTCTTTCTTTTTTTAAAAACACAAATATATAAATCAAAGAAGGCTAACAGTTTCAACATTGTTTTTTGCTTCTTGAAAACAGAGAGCCCAGCCTGGAGAGTTAATGCTAGTTTAAGGTCAAGGCTCCTGATGACTTAATATCTAGTGGTTAAAAGAACTTTTTTGTAGACCTAAAGAGTTAACTACCACATGAGTATAATGAAATTGTCAAGTTACAGTAATTGCACCGGTAATTTGAGATGTTGCATTTTGAATGAAGCCATGTGTGGAGAGTTTGTTGTTTTCCTTTGCTGAATCTATCCTTACCTTTTTCTTTCTTTTTTAATATTTCTCCAAGTTATGAAGGCTAGTCAGAATCATTAGACTTAATAGAAAAAGAGCTTTTATCACCTCGTCAAGTAAAACAGCAGATCCCCATTATTTTCCTTCTTTTGTATAGCTGTAGGGTTGCTTATTTGTACTTGGTTCTATGTGTATTTTTAACTTATGAATCTTGAATTGAATTTTGTGTGGCACTTCTTGCATATGTTTCTGATTAGATGTAACTAAATAAAAAAGGGTTACATATTCAAGGCCATAAAACTTTTGAACAAACTACATATGCCAGTTAAAAAGGGTACATCTCCCTCTTTTTCAGTATAATACATGCATGCAAACACAAAAGCAGCTCTGAAAACTTTGGAGGGTACAGAGTTTAAATGTTAATTTGAGACTCCTTTATATACATCCTATTTTCTTATTGCATTCCCTTTTAGAATCATTGTTTTCAATTATCAGTAGCTCAATTTCAGCAATTAGTTTTCTTACCCTTAATGGAAAAAAAAGGTGAATTCGTGATCATTTCACATTCTGATCTTCTCCAAGTGTGAGATTCAGGGCTGTTTCACATACCTTAGCATTGTTTGGCATGTATAGTTGTATCAATTATACATTTATTGGACAGGAAAGGTTCAAAGTGTAATTAAACTGAAAGGTATTTTTATTGTTCCCCTTCAATTTTAAATGAAAGCTAGTCAAAAATAGTTTTAAATAAACACATATTACTTCTTAAAAATTATCAAGTGCCCAATATAATGTTATGTGTTATAGTCTTGGAAGTAAGTTCTTCAGGATTTCTTAGAGCCTGCATCCAAAGGAAGGTTCACAAAATTTTAGTTAAGACAGGCTAGAGTTTCATTGTTCTGATCGAGATGTAAACATATTTTAATAGGAGATCAAAGGATGAATATCAAAAGAAAGGTAGAAACCTTCTGAGATTAGTGGAGGAAAGGAAGGTTTTGGGTGGACTGAGAACAGTGGACTGGTAGGATATGCTTCTGTCAGTGACTAAGAGTAGGGAGGAAAGGGGCTGAGAAGATTGTATATACTGTGCTAATCAGTTGACAGTTGCTGAGGGAAGGGGAAAAAGCTACTTGGAAGCTTGGATGTGGGTAAGCTGCTGGAATATACTGCCCTGGAAATACATACTAGCCTTGGTTTACATGCCCTGTCCAGATTTTATTTTATATGAAACCTCAGTCAGAATGTTCCCAAGTTTTCCACCAAACCGGCTGACCTGAATGGTTTCTCCAGATTCTGAAAGAAAAAATTTTCTTAAGTCATAAGAGTTATAAAAAGGCAGATTTCAGTTGAACGTTAGGGAAATGTTCTAAAGTTCAAAGCAGTTTGACAGTGAAATCAATTTCCAAGAGAAACTGGTGAGCTCCTCAGTAGCTGGATCATTCAAAGAAATACTGACCACCCATTTGTTGAGATGCCTTAATCTGGATTACTTTGCTAAGTATGGAATTGGACTCAGTGAGTTGGACTCACTGCTTAACTGCCTCCAGTAACTTAACCAGATATAATTTAAATTGTAAAGATATTGCCTGATATAATAAATTAAGGATTTTTTGATTTTTTTTTAAGTGTAATTGGATTTTTAAAAGTTGGAATGGCTTGCAGACCTGCTGATAGTTCTTAAGGGCTCTCTAAAGACAGTGACTCTCTGCAATGAGTAATAGGGGAGGGATAGAGGAATTCAAAGGAGAACTTGACTTTTTTTAAAATTCTCATTGTGTCTTAGTTGGAGGTCTGCAAGAAGCAAGAATCTGGAGAAAAGAATTTCATGTGTTTGTGCCTAAAAATCCCCAGGGGAACTGGAACTAGTACAGTTGTCAGGGTTCATTTAGCCATGTGAGGGATCATTTATTTCTTTTATGTGCTGTTGGCTCAGTAGTGGGTGTTTTTTTATCTGTTCCAATTCTGCAATTCTTACCTCTTTGTTTCCTCAGACTGCTTACGGATTTCTGAGTGCTAGCTTTGGGGCAGATTTGAACCTTATGGAATTTGTTATAATTGAATTCTCTCCAATCCTTATTGTGTTACCTTTTTTTAAAAAGCGCCATTTTTCTACTCTAGTACTGATTGAAGTATCTAGGCTATATAATCCAAGACCACTTAGACCACAAGACCACTTAAAATGGGAGCCATCTACTTAAAAGTTTCTTCCTATGGAAGGAGGATGTCCTATTCTGATACATCCAGATCCTAGGTAAAGGGGCATCTCCTCATATGAGAACAGGTAGTAATATAACTATCTAAAGTGAAACATTTTAACCTGAAGAAGAGCCACATCCAGATAAGCCAGACTTGAGGGCGGTGAGTGTGATTCCCAGGGTGGTTTAGTGTAGGCATCTCTTCTCTTCAACTGGTTTAATTGGCATAATAAACTAATAAACTAAAAGTTTATTATGAACACATTTTTCTGGATTGCTAGCTGTCTTAGAATAAACACATATTTGCCTGGGATGCATCTTTAAGGAGGAGCCAATAGGTACAACAAGTGTGTACCCATATATACCCTGAAGTATGGTTTCTGAAGAACTGCTAATCACTATTTGGTGGCAACCTGAAGCTAAGAAAATTACTTGAATATACTTGCTAAGTTAATTAAATGCAATTAATTAAATGAGCATACTGACTTTTCAACATGGGTCCAATCACAGTACATTCAAAACAGTTTACATAAGCATAATTATTGTATAAATTGGATTCATCATGTTAAGACTCATCAAGTCCATTTAAACCATCAGATCCAACCTCAGTACATAAAGTGATTGCCTTGAATGTTAATTTTTTAAAACAAACGAGAAGTAGCAAAGAAAAGTCAAAAATTGATTCACAGACTGCACTAAGTCAATGCAGGTTCTTCAGTTTTGCCACGTTTATTGTGTGGGGCTCAGTATCAATGAGCAAGACTTGTATGGGATCTTCACATAAATATCCACAGAGGTATAATAGTCCAAGGCTTGACTGGCATTAAAGAATGAATTGGTTTAACTTCATAGCAATTCAGCATATTTTTAACTTTCAGTTAAAATGTGAGGAAAATTACAATTTTCAGCTATAACTGTGTTCTAGACAACATAAATCAAAAGAGCATTTAATCGTGCCATTAATATTTGACAGGTGTTAACAAGTTCAAATTAATTTTTGGGAGTAAAATATTTGATTAAATCTAGTTTTAATAATTCTGTTATAACTAATTGAAAATGTTGTCAGATCTGTTGAGTGAAAAGCTGCTTGTGACAAGATACACACAGTAAAACAACTGATTTGAATACAATTAATTTGTGATGAATACTATAAGACAGGGGTGTCAAACTGCCGGCCCACAGGCCGGTTTCATTATACCAGAGTCGCGCCAACTCCATTGCCGGCAACGGTGAAAAAGCTCCGATACGTTGCGCAATGTCATGTGACATCGTGAGTTTGACATGTCTGCTATAAGATGTAAAGAGTCCATGTGGTCTTAATGGTATCATAGTTTTGTCCTGTATCTTATAGTTAGTTTCCCATTTTACAAGAACAAATTATTTGTGAATAGTACCTGTTATTTTACTGATCTATTCTCCCAAATCTATGGGTAATCAACTCCCATACAGTACTTACAATAACTTAACAGTATTTATTTAAGAACTTCTACTCCACTTTTCATTGTCATCAGAGAAGGTTCCAAAGATGGTTTAAGCAGTATCAGGAAATAAAGGATAATCCCTTCATTTAAACTTACAAACTGAAAACACAAGAAATGTAAGGAAATCAGAATGCAAAGGGAAGAAGGAGGAGGAGGAGGAGGAGGACACCATTTAGTGTAGAAATGGAATTTCAAAATGTGAATTCCTCAGCAGCATACATAAAAGACACTAACCATTTTGCTATGAACAAATTGGCAAGAGAGAAAGTAAAATGTTAATGAGTTCATACTGGTAAACATACTGAATATGTTGTGATCTTTATAACTACAGTATTACTAGATATATTGTTTAGAAATAATGTTTCATCCAATTGTTATTTATCTTGACACTAGCCACTGCTGATAGAACACATTCTCTTCTGCAGCCCCCATTTTCCCTTCAAATCTGCTCTGGAATGTTGAAAGCCCTTTAAAGCATATGTAGGAAAAAATAAGAACAAAAACAGCTTGGGAAAATCCTGTTGTGTGAATGTAAACCATTTGCACAATATTGAATACTGCCTCCATCTCACTATTTCAAATTTTTATCATTTTGCTCCTTGTGGAAGAACTAACTGTAGCCTTTATTGTTGATTAGGAACCTTTTTCTCAATATTTATGTATTTGCCTTTTTAAGTATCATTGTTTTGTTGTGTGATAAATCTTTTTTCCCCTTTTTGCTAACAGCAATTTTAAAAAGTCATACTGAATAAAAACAAGATTTTTCTATTCTGATCTTAACTTCCTAGGCAGAACATTTACCAAATGGTCCAGATTGTGGCTATGGTTCTTTCCACCAGCAATATTGGCTCAAGGCAAAACTAATTGCTGTTGGTGTAATTGACATTCTTCCAAAGTGTGTATCCTCTGTGTATCTCTACTATGATCCTGATTTTTCTTCTCTGTCTTTGGGTGTCTACTCTGCTTTAAGGTAAGGTGATATGTTCAAAATCCTTGCATATTTTTGCATTTAAAAGTATTCAAATCTAATCTAATCTAATGACATATCTAATGCAGGTAGCGTTCATTTAATGATGACAATTGATATTAGCAAATCAGTCGCTAAGAGATGTAGTCACAAAGTGGAAAATCATGTCATAGTGACTATGCTTACAGGTGTACTTCAGCTTTCCTTTGTTTTACAGTGTTAGAACGATACAATCTCAAGCAGTGGGTGAGCCCAAATGGCAGGAAGGTTTCTTGAATTCAACTTAGAGCAAACTGGGTAAAAGGGCACATAACATTTTCCCCCTACTACCCCAGCCTTTGGAATGTTCATCCCAGTGCTGGGACAATTAAGAAGAAGCAAGAAAAAAATTAATGTTTGTATTTATTTTCATTGGAGAGGAAAGGAGAGAGTAAGCAGGCATATAGTGGGGAATACATGTCAAGAGGAATGAAAGGTGTGCAGGACAGAGGGGTTGCAGAAGAAGATCAGGTCAGGAGGATGTGCAAGACACATAGATTGGGAAAGGTACAAGGAGGTTGTGAAATACACAGGTTGGATAGAATGTGCAAGAGCACAGGTTGGGGGAAAAGGCATGAAGAAGCAAGGGAGGCTTGGGGAAGGTACGTGGAGATATTGTACATTCACAGTGTGTGTTTGACTCAGTTATTTTCCTAAAGAAGAAGATACAGCAAAGATTTAAATTTAAATTTAAATCTTATTGAATACAAGTTAAACATCCATAGTTTTATGAATCATAGTAACTTGTTGTTACTATTTTATTATTTTTTAAACTTTTAAAAGTTTCCTATTAATTACTTCACATTTGAGTTTCATACTAGCATCTTGCCAGGACGACATGCAAAACTTTTTTTAAAAGTAAAATATTTGGAATTTTTATGTAGAATTCCTTATTTAAATGTAATAAGTTCTCAACATAAAGCAAAGTTTAGGTCATTTTATTTTATTATATGTATGTTTATTGTAGATCTGTTTGTATCTCTGAAAACAATTTTTATGGTATTATAGTTTGATACATTTTGGATTATTTTTATTTTACAGGGAAATTGCTTTTACCAGGCAACTTCATGAAAAGGCCTCTGATCTAAATTATTATTACATGGGATTTTATATTCATTCATGTCCTAAAATGCGATATAAGGTAAGATACAATTTTAATTATTAGAATTCAGCCTAATTGATTTTTCAATACGATTAGGACAGATTTGTATATTCTCAATGTCTCCTGCTTTGCTTGGTCAAAAAGAATTGTCTGTAAATTGGCTGGTGCTGGGTAAATGGAGAATAAAGACTTATGTTTCCCAAATAGTTGTCCCATGCCATCTATCAAATCTTTTTTTAAAAAAAAATGAGGGAACTTTCAAAACAGATCATAATAATGGATAAGGATATCCTGTTCAAATGAAAAAGAAAAATCATGAACATTACATAGATCTAAACCTTGAGCATACTTAAAATAATTATTTGGATTCTGGATTTGATACTCCTCAGCCTAATCTAACAAGGACATGTTTTTATAAGTAAAATTTGAATGTTGAATAAAGTAAGGATGGCAATTACACTCTTTTATTATTATACTATTTTATATTATTATACTATATTATTATATATATTATTATACTATTTTATATTATTATACTGTTTTCTTTCCCAGATGCTAGTGTTAATGTCCTATGAGAGCTCTTTGGTTTGGCTAAAAAAAGCCCAAATCCTTTTAATGTTAACTGAGCTTTTCTTCAGTTGCTAAAATGCAGTGCTGTTTAAAAATGGGTTAGCATCTGCTGACTGAGACAGAATGTGACCTGACAAAATGGATTTTTAGTGTTCTCTATTCTTTCCATTTACAAATATATTTTTCTGTAATTTTGTGAAGATCTGATGATCCAGTTTTTGGCAAATATTGTTAGTTTGAATATAGTCTTCCTAGTTTTGATATCCATGAGTTTACTGAAATTATTTAAACCAATAAAATATTGGTAAGAAATTGAAATATGGAGCTTATGAAGTCCAAGGGGTTTCTGCTGGATTCCTTACTCTGCAGGAATATGCTTTTAGTAGATTAAACTATTTATCTAACTAGCTCCACATTGATGACTATGTTCTTTAATTCACATATTCATACATATCCTTCCTCAAGTTTTTTTTAAACGTATTTATGACATACTATGCTAGTTCTCAACCTAATTCAGGAATACAAATTTTTTTCTTTAGTGCCTTTTTCTCTTCTTAAATTTTATTTTGTTAATATAATTCAATATATTTAAAGTATTTTAAAACATAAATACTCCCTTGACTTTTTGAAGAACAAATTTTGGGAATTTCAATATCTTGTATTAATAGAAATAATCCATAGGTCTATAATAGAGAAGTGGGCAGATAACAGCCTCCAGTAATTTACACTTTTGTTCATTTAGTTAGAATAGTTATAAAGCAACTTTTGAAAATTAAAAGCCATTTTAAGGATTTTAAATTGGATCTGTGGACAATGACTGTGCAGCATAACATCTACCAGACTATAGATTTTTAAGGTCAAGGAATTTTCCAAGATTTATTGGCATTTTGTACATTTTCATGCAAATACATTTCAGTTTCATTCCCAGTATTGCTTTTGTTTAATCAACTGATTTTATCTTCTTGAAAACTTTTACATTAGGTTTGTATTTTTAGAACAAATGATAGCTTACATGAATATATTTCAGCATTCTTAAAAAAGCAGATTACTTCAATAGAATCTTTTAAAGGAGCTTAATTTAAAATGGCAGAAAGACAATAGAAAATGTAATTAGTTTAACAGATAAGCCCAGGTTATTGTCATGAGATAGCTTGATATCAGATGGCGAGAATAGATTCCAAAAGATTAACAAAGAAATAAAAGGCCAATTCATCTGTGATTAATTATTATATTACTTTGGATAGGCTGTTGTCATAAGCAGAATGTACTTTTTGAACCAATTTTGATCACTTGGGCTTTGGGAGATTCAGCAGCTTGAAAAGTTGTACAAAGGAATTTTAGCAGTTTTAATCTCTTGAGCCCTGGCTCCTTCGTAGTTCCATGAGTTTGGAATTTAGTTAACCTTTTTCGCTAAATTAGCTTTGCTGCCTAAGCAGAAACGGAAAACCACAGCTGAACAGAATCCCTACAGGATGTTGTTTACCTACGACCTCCTGCTCAAACCTATAATTGTGAGCCTGCCATTGTAACACTGAAAAGATTGCAAATCTTTTGCAAGCCCTAACACAATACAGCTTTCATTTTGTATCTTCCCGAAGGATTATTTGGTCAGCATAATTTCATTTTATGTTTTAGCTGATTTAAGATGAAAATCAAATGCTTGGCTCATGCACTGATACGTACTAGCAGTGCCAGAGTCCTGTGGCAGCAATGACCTATTACTGGACTGCACAAGCATTTTTTAATGAAAAGCTACAATAATTGTTTTGGAATCCCTCTTGATCACATAATTGGGTGGTTGAGGCACTCAAATGTACAAATGTTCTGTTGCACAACACAAACGTTACAGACTTAAAAATTACAATTATAAAAAATAAAATGTTAATTACAGCAATGGAACAATATATCAGTGTCCAACTAACTGATAATCTGGGTGTGGGGAAAATGAGTGTGGCCCTGGGGTTTGCCAAAAGTCATTGTTATGAACAGGAAATTATTTTGATAATGCAATAAAATCTGTATTTTGTAATATTTCTTGTATGGATTTTTAGTTAAATGGTTATGATCTGTCCAACTGTAGGAATGCAAGATGAGTCTCATATAAATTGAATAAATAGATAAAGAAACTGTAATCCCAAAGGTGCTGCTCAAAAGGCAACAGTTGGACTCTCTTGTTTTTTGTTTTTTTTACTTAAAAACATTTAGCTTCTCATCCAAGAAGCTTCTTGGATGAGAAGCGAAATGTTTTCAAGGAAAGTACCCCCAAAAAAGTCTTGTTACCTTTTCAATGGCACCTTGAGACAACTGTAAACTGGATGACTGAGAATCTCCATAGAAGGCAAACTGCAGGGTAAGTACAGTAGAAATTTTGCCTGACCTTAAACTGACATGGCTTGAATTCTTTACATATGAGGAATAAATGAAAAGTGATGCTTTCATCTCATAACTTTAGATACAATTGACATATTTTAATACATAAACCAGAAAAATAATCCTTGGAATTAGCCCTTTTGTTACCTGTATTTACTTATCATAATCTTTGCCATTAATTATACAGTTCTGCAAATCATAGATAAGCTTCTAAAGCCCGAATGAGAGAACTTTGTCTCTTCAGTCAGATCCTGACAGTCATTTTTGCTTATTTGAGACAAACATATGCCCTCCTCAGAGTATTCTGTTTTGAGAAAAGGTGGAAGCTGCTTGTAACAGAATGTATGTATGTATGTTGCCTATTAGATGGCATGTAAGGTATAGCATTGCCATGTGGCAATGAAATTTCTTTTTATGCTTCTGATCTCAGCTTATTTTTATTTCGAGTGTTGCAGTCTAAGTTAATAGTAGTGCAAGGTTTAATTTCATGTTCATATGTCTCAAAAAAGCAAGCAAACCTATACCGATAACTTCTCTTGCAAACCCAGACCACTGCATGTTTTTCCTCAGATTTTTATAATATATATATACATACATATATATTTGTTTTCTGAGGTTTTCGCGGGTATTTGTATATAGGTCTTTGGTTGTTCGGGTTTTCTCCCGCGTAAAATTGGAAGTGTCTTGGCAACGTTTCGACGAAGTCACATTCGTCATCTTCAGGCTGGTGTTTTTAGCTTCTTGCTTTGAGCAGCAATGTGTGGTTTTAGCTGTTTCTTCCTTTTAACTGCCAGTGAGGGTATGAACTGATTGGGTGGGAGCTTGGCTGTGTTCTGATTGGGTGGAGGTGTGTTCTGAATGGTTAGGGGCTTGGCTGTGCTCTGATTGGCTGGGGGAGTGTTCTGTTTGGTTGTGCTCAGGTTAGTCTGAGTTGCAGAGGGGTTTAAGATTTTGGGTTAGGGAGTCGTTTGTCAATAAGGGCAGGTTTCCAAATGGCTGGTAGGCGGGAGGTATCATCTCGCTTGTTCATGCTGTGTGGGCGTTTTTCTATCTCGATGGCTTCTCTGATTATTCTGTTATTAAAATGTTCACTTTTGGCAATGGTTCTGGTATTTTTAAAGTCAATTTCATGTCCTGTGGCTTTAAGGTGTTGGACCAGGGAAGATGTTGGTTCCTCTTTTTTGACTGAGTTCTTATGTTCTTCAATGCGTGCACTTATTCTTCTGTTGGTTTGTCCGATGTATGTGGTGGGACAAGTGGTGCATGGGATTTCGTATACTCCTTGATTTTCTAATTCAATTTTATCTTTGGGGTTTCTAAGGATGGTGGATATTTTTCTGTTTGTGCAGAATGCTGTTTTGATGTTGTGTTTATGGAGGATCTTACTGATTCTGTCTGTGGTGCCTTTTATGTATGGGAGGAGGGCTTTGCCGTTTTCTTGTTCTTTGTCTTGGATTTTAGTGGGGGTTTCTTTTTGGATTAGGTTTGTAATCTTATTTCTATGGAATCCATTGGATGTTAGTACATTGGTGAGAGTGTGTAGTTCGGGTTTTAGGTGTTGTTCGTCAGCTAAGCGTTTTGTTCTGGAGATGAGTGTCTTGGCTACAGAGTTGATCTGTGCTGGGTGGTGGTGTGAGAGAGCGTGCAGATAGCGGTTTGTGTGTGTTTTCTTCTGGTAGATGGTGTGTCCTAGGGAGCCATTGGATTTCTTGTAGACTAAGACATCCAGGAAGGGAAGTTGGTTGTTAGCTTCTGTTTCCATGGTGAACTGTATTTTGGGGTGTAGGCTGTTGAGGTGTGTGAGGAAGTTGTCCAGTTTTTCTTTCCCATGTGGCCAGATTATGAAGGTGTCGTCTACATATCTGAGCCAGAGTTTGGGTTTGTGATCCGATTTTTCTAGAGCTTGGGTTTCAAAGTGTTCCATGTAGAGGTTGGCAATGACAGGTGAGAGGGGTGATCCCATGGGTGCTCCTTCTGTTTGTTTGTATTTTTGTCCGTTATAGATGAAGTATGTGTTGGATAGGCAGTGGTTGGTCAGATCTAAGATGTGTTTGGGGGGGTTATATTTGTTTTGAATAGCTGTCAAGGCTTCTTTGATA